AAAAAAAAAAAAAAAAAAAAAAAAAAAAAAAAAAAAAAAAAAAAAAAAAAAAAAAAAAAAAAAAAAAAAAAAAAAACAAAAAACAAAAAAAAAAAAACAAAAAAATAAAAAAAATGAATAAGAAAAGTAAATACATAATAAAATCAAAAGTAATGAGAATTATAATATAATGGGGTAATAGGGTTACTGTACACTGTCCCTTGATGATGATGAGAGAAAATTAAGGATATGAGACTCAATTAGTTGATTAAGGGTAGAAGGAGATGATAGTGTAGAGGGGGTGTTAAATACAGCAGAGGAGAGCTGATTAGCCAAAGAAGTGATCCAGGATTTCTCAGCGGGTTGAGCATAGGTGTTAGAAGACATGTATTCGAGAAATGAGCCATTGGGAGAGGACCAGTCGTTGCTTTTATTAGCAACAGAATGCGGAATGACAGGTTGAGAGTTGTTTTTATAATGGAGATACTTATTTTTATTTTTTTGGGTGTAAGGCTGTGACAGGCTAGGAAAGGACTCTAAGGAAATAGGATTTTGAGAAGCACTGGAGTTGTTAATAGTGTTTACATTGTTAGAGAGACTATCCGAATAAGTTTTAGTTTTATTAACAATGTTGTTCTTAAGTATAAAGGTGGCATCGTTGTATGAAATGTTTTCAACAGCCATGATTTTTTTAATTTCCTTCTGACGGGACCATTCAGGACATGCGCGATCTGTAGCCTCATGGGAACCTTTGCAGTGAACGCATGATAGGGTGGAGATGTCTTTATTAGGACAATCGGAGCCGATATGATCGTTAGCACCACAACGAGCACAACGTGCCTTACTTCTACAGAACTTGGCTGTGTGACCGTAGCGAAGACACTTGTTACAGATCACAGGCGAACGGATACTTGGAGAAACGGTGAAAATGACTTTAAATATTAATAATTTTTCTGGTAGTTTAGAAGAGAGAAACTTGAGCTCCACTAAATTAGTTTGAGTTGGAGTATTTGAATCGCGTTTGGTGACTATGCGACGAAAACCAATGATAGGAACCGGCGATTCGATGCCTTCCCAAAACTCTTCCTCTGTTGTTGAGGTTTCAAGGCGAATGATACCGTGAGAGTAAATTAAAGTGGATGGTATCGAAGCTTTTAAGTTCATACCAGTAAGAAGGTTAGAATTAAGGCAAGCATTGGCCGATTTAATAGAATCGAATAATATTTTAACTCTAGAGCCAATGGGAGTAATTTGTTTGATGCCGCCGAATTTGTTGTGGAAAAGTTTCCCAATTTTTAGTGGGTGTAATTTACCTATATTTTGGTCTCTAACCGTAGATTCAACCAGAATTATCGGGGTCCCGTTAAAATTGTTTGAGAAAGATTTCAAGTTAGAGTCTTCACTCGAGTTGTTAGTAATTTTTTTTAAGGTGGACGATTGTACTGTATCAGAGTCAATGTTTACCTTATTAGGCGTATTTTTGTTATGTATATCAAGGTCGCTAGTGTTGATCATTACATTATCGATGTCCATAGTATTAGTATTGCTATTCGACGTTGGAGTAATGGCATCATTAAGATATGCGGTACTCGTTTCATTGTTATCGGCTGACTCGTTAGTGTTGTACTGAAATTGTATGTTTGCCGGGAGTAGTTGCGGTTGATTATCAAGTAGATATTGTAGATTCGGAGAAACCGGGCTGGTAGGCAGTTTTTTAGACCTACGTTTCGCACTGGCAGTAGACCATTCGTCGGAGTCTTTACGATTTTTATGTAAAGTAACTTTTATGGGGCCAGAACCGTTGTTAGGTGGACGGCCCGGTCCACCCGGTGAATTGGGCATACGAGAACTTAAGATGAAAAAAAAA